TGAATAGTTTCAAAAAATTATTCTAGATTATATTTTATCAACTCGACACACCTTTTACAATGCACCCCATCTTGTCCCAAGAAAATGCTTCCATCGATGAGGACAAGTGAACCCCATTGATTAGGAAAAGGACTTGTACATATATCTCAGTGCACTCGTTGAAAACAAGGCTCCTAACGTAAGCAGAAGAATACAATGCAGAAGATGCCAGAAAGCGAGCGATGAACTCTATCTCGATCCGCGTAATGCCCGATTTGATCTCACATGAAACGTATGCCACTGTAGCTATCATGCTGTATGCTGCTTTTAGGTGGGCATGAGCAGGGTAGATATGAAGAGTGATGATAGCCTTTGAAGGTGTGGTGGGTGGGACGGTAAAATGTTGAAGACGATCACATGCTGCTGCAGCCCACAGCTTGCCGAGCCTGTTGACTCCTTTGGTTCAATGAGGTGGGTTCTTCCATCGGTGTTGGCTTGCGGCATGTAGCCATCTCCGATAGCTCCACCGCACCAAATTGCTAGTACTAACATGGTGGGGTTGATCCCTAAGAGCGAGACGTCTGCAGAGATGTTCCCGGGTTAGGTCGGACAAATTATTGGTTGCCTTCCTCACCCTAAAGGTTCCACAGGACACAGCACTGTTCGAGCACTGTACCAGAGGCAAAAAAACAAAGAAGATAGGTATGGATTAACTCGTGTTACGTCAATCGTATCGAGGCAGTCATCTGATGTTGGTAAGCCAGAAAGGGTTCACCGACAGCGATGACATTTTTAATCTCTGTGGAGGAGCAATGATCGAGGAAGGGGAGCTATGCACTGAGTTGTTGCTGTGGTCGATGAGCCATCATAATTCCACCGCCACCGCCACCTTCACCACGTCGGTTTCCATAGTCTGGAATTACCCAATTCATCGACCGATGTGTAGGGAATATAGATGAGCTTTTCTTTTGAGAAAAAGGATAAAGCTGTAGATGATCGAATCGAATGGAAATTTCTGGACTTGAAATCATTTTGATTCACTATACTCTCATTATTGGTGACTATCACAAAGTGTAAACATCACTATACTCCGGTTTAGACAAACGAACTAAGGTTTAATTATCTACGTCCTTACAACGAAACAATGAATTGTAAGTTCTGAAGAAAAAGGAGGAAGAAGAAGAAGAAGAAGAAGAAGAAGAGGTGCGAGCAGAGCAGTCACCGAGCGGTCGTCGTCCGGGTGTGAGGCAGGAACTTGAGAGCTTCCAACAATGTTAGCCTCAGCCTTCCCAGATGAGGCTTCACGTTTTGGTTGTCCAAGTATACTCTGCTCAGCTCATGCCACCCTTTCTTGTGGATCGACTGAGGATCCGTGAACACGGGGTCATCCTTGGGGTACTGATCGCTCAGCGTGCTCTCATCCGCTTGGATGCGGTAGTCCAAATACTTGAGTTGCATCTCCGGTGATGGCGTCTGGAAGGTGTCTCTTGCCAGCCACTCCAGGTTGCCCATGGGAACCACCTGGATGAACACGGCTCCTGCGGGGAGGAAGACCATGTTGGTCAGCCCGGCGCCGTGGACTCCGATCATCACGTCGGCGGAGTTCACCAGCCTCGCGAACTTCCCCAGGTCGGTGGTTATCTCCGGCTCGGCGATCCTCACGTCGAAGCCCAGGCTCATGGCCATGTCTGCCATCCCCCTCTCGTTCAAGAACACTCGGGAGCTCTTCCGGGATATGATCAACAGCCGGGGCTTCCTCCTCAAGTCCCATTCGTCCCCCGACGGCTCCGCCCTCGGCCTCTCCAGTCCGTACGCGTTCCTCAGCATCTCCTTGAAGTCCACCACGGAGAACCCGCCGGGAGTCCTCGAGGGGTCGACGCCGAGTTCCTTCTGGAAGCTCAGGCCCGCGATCACTCGCGGGAAGCACCGCACCGCGTCCTGGTCGTTGTCGGCGTCGATGACCTCGTACTTGGACAGCTGCTTCAGAATCAAGCTGAACTTGCTCAGCCACCAGGATTTCGCGTCGGCGATGACGAACTGAACCTCGCCACCGAACCGGTAGGAGGTGATGAACAGAGGGACTAGCACGTCGGTGAAGTCGTGGAAGAGGTTCCCCGTGAACCCGCCGATCGAGAAGACCACCGCCGGCACCGTATAATTCTCGGTGCATCTTGGGCGTGTTTCCTGATCTGTGAACGGCTTAATTGTCCATTCCTTTACATGGGCAATGGCGGCCTGGTCGTGCTTTCGGGCGTAAGGTTTGATCTTCCATTCTTGGCTAGTCAAGGAAGGGTGTAAGAAGATGGTCTGAGAGCTTCCTTTCACCCTTATATCACCTTCTGCTTCACAAACATTCGATCTCCGGCTTGTTTCGGAGCAGATGGGTTTCTTCGAGTCCGCAACAGCTTTCTCTTCACTCGCCTTGCCCATTGACACCGTGCTACCTTCTTCATCACCGATCCCTGCAATCAGAACAGAAATGTTTAGCAATGCGACATATATTTCCATCTTCTCTTCTTCCTCCATGCATCTAACTATTGAATTTCTCTGATGACACAAAAATCCCAAAATTATGCTACAAAATTTACCTTTTAGAGCATGGTCGGCACTCCTGGCTGTCACCATCCTTATAGCTTCCATGTTCATTTCTATATCCGTAGACGCCTGCGACTTGGCTGCAAGAAGCACAGTCGTCCTCTGTTAAGAACAGAAGAACCAGAACCAGAACCAGGAGCAAAGACGACATCTTGGGGAAGAAGCGGAGACAGACCGTATGGAGCCGAACAATAGCGGGCCTTGACGAAGGAGAGGATGCAGAGAGAAAGAAGCATGGATGCTACGATGAAGGCGTTCCCTGTCCTCCTGGGCTCAGCCCTGGGGTAAGTCCTGACGGACTTCATCTCTTCCTTCTTCCTTCTTCCTTCCTTCCTTCCCAACTCCCTCTTCTTCTCCCTGTCTCCCTTCCACCCTCCGAGCCCTTATACCAGCTTCCCGTGGTCACGCGGAGGTTTGTTGACCAAGTCGGAGCCCATTCCCGCACCTATCACCACACGTTTGTCTACCCAGTCTTTCCCTATTAGAAAACCTGTTTTATCCTTCAGTCAAATTGCTCCTGGCTTTCACCTTTCGGTAAACCGCACTGTCAAGCTTCGGGTATGTTCTCCCTCAAAGTGGCTACTCGACATATCTTCTTTGTGATCGACACCGACAGCGCAACATCTACGATCGAATCCGGTGGAAGATCAAACTCAAGATTCATGAAACACCGCACACTTTTGGTCGCTCGAAGTTTCTAGCAAGCTTTTAAGTGGCATGTAATCGACGAAACTCTCTCGCAGGCGTAGCGGCATGCAAACCGTGAGCAAAAGCTAGAGAAAGGACACTGATACCAAGAGCTGAACGCGTCTAAGTTGACATGTATGAACAGAGGATGTCCAGCACGAGACTTATCGGCGTAGAATTATTTGATTATAGGGTAAATCCCCATTCATACTCCATAGAATTGTTCAAAGAGATTTTTCCTAGCTGAGATTCCGAGTTGCTGATTCTTTCTCTCTCTATTTTATATGCATTACACACGGAAAAGAGTCTCAAGGCATGTGATGTGTTGTGTGTTTGAACCTTCCGGAGGAAGAAGACCTGGACAGCTCAAAACCATCGCATTCACCATGTGTTTGGTACATAGGAGGAATCATCGGGGAATGCTCGAGTTGAGCACATAATTTAATGGCCATCTCTCCTTGTAGTTGACAACCCCGCATTAAATCGCAATTCGACCGTTGAGCATTGTGTTCATCTGTCTGATACCGAGAAAATTGCAAGTTCTTAATGCGAAAGAACGAGCCAGCGTCGGTAAGCCGTCACATCATATGCCATCGTCGCATAACACAACAACTCGACTTCATCAACATGTTGGTGTCTGTTCTATCTCGGCTCCATAAAGAACTATTAGAACAGAAGATTTTACATAAAGTGTCTAACTTACTAATCCTCTTAGTACAGACGTGCAAAGGAGGAAAGACATGAGTAATTATGGTTCTCTTTCTTCATAAAGGGGCGAGTTTCTTGCGTGCCAAATGTCTCCCACAGCTAAAGAACAGTTGCTCCACACTATATCTGACCACCGAACCAGAGTTTGTAAGATTCACGGTAAGTGTAAGGAGGAAAACCAACATGTAAATTGAAGTGTTGGCAGCACCACAATAAGTTTGATGACCAAGTTTCTGCAAATTGAGCTGGAATGTGGTCCACCGGGAGGGGAGGGGAGGGGAGGGGGGTTGGACAAGCTCTTATGGCCACCAACTTCATCTTTAGGCTTGTCGGAGCTTGACTTGCAGCATCTGCGATTGGCCTCCAGTTGGCATTTAATATTTATCTGGAGAATATTTCGCCTGGGTAGGTTGTCCCTACTCACCACATTGTGATGCATGACTGGGGGGAGTACCTCTTCTTTCCCCCTTTCTTTATCTTTCGCTACAAACCTTTAAGATAAAGATGGGTCCTTCCATCCGTGAAATGATTGGAGACATATGGAAAGGAAAGCAGAGCAGCTTTAAATTGTTTCTCCTTTTCAGAAAGAGGTTTGCACATGCAGGAGGACCTCTGTGCTCCTTCTCGGAACATCCTTGCAGGGATTCAGTACTCCGGGCATGGTGAAAACGAGTGCGAGGGACGACGAACTTGGTTGTCCTCTCTTGCTCTCTCTGTGTTGTGACGGGAAAGCAAGAATGATGAGCGGAAGTGGAAGCAGCATCCGGCAAAGTGACACCCCACCGGATGCTCGGAGAATCGCGCACAAACGCCAACAACGAGAATCGCTTAATATTCTTCGGCGACCACCGCAAATCGACACTGCCTGCGATCGTCATTCTCCCACACCTCACAAAGGGGAAGAACACAATTGCGGTGCACGTGCAGACCGCACTCATTTAAAGCTGTAGCGGCAGCCCAGCCCATCGATAGCCGTGGATCCCATGTCGACGAGCAAGCCTCGCTGTTAACCAACCCAATCAGGCCCATTGTAAGAAACATACTATGGTTTAGACTAAGCCAAGGTAATCAAACATGTCGAATTCAATAGTATTGGACATAACACAAGAGGAAATAAAGAGAACTATAATGACATCAACTGCAACCACAGCTTCAACACCAGAAAGAGATTAATATTAATTCTTTAGGTAAACACGCCTTCGATCTCACAGCATCCACTTCTTTCTATTTTGACGTGACCAATCAACTACTGCATGCTAATGACGTGAAATCACATGCATACGGCAGCCATCAGTTGCTCCCGGGAGGTGAAGGCAGTTGAGGGGGGATTTGATGCTTCACAGGATTCGATGCTGGAGATGGGGGACTCCACCCGACCCTTCCACCCAACATCCTCTCCTTCCTCCCTGCAAAGAAACAAAGGTAAGGAAGGATCCTTAGAACAAAACCATGCTCGTGGCCGGATCGGATCATACAAGCTTTGGCACCTCCATAGGCCGAATGAAACTGGGTAAACAGCAAGGCAGCAACCGCAGCCATTAGAAAGAGGAATCGGATGGAAGAAGAGAGCCGCATCTTTCTCTTGGGCTTCTCACTCCACTGGGATGACATCTGATTTCAAAGTTATAGACTCGTAGGAGTTGGTCTAGTCTCTTGCATGGCTTTAAAGAAATATTGCCGGGCGGCCACGACGGGTATGTTAATTGTATTTTATGTTATCAAGACATCCCCAGTGTTCTCATGCGGAAGATCTTTTGCTGTTGAGTTGACTCAATCTTGTTCCTTTTTGTTGCAGTACAATGAAGCAGATGATGTTGGATATGCTGCATCCTTCTTTCCGTGAGGAATAGGACATTTTTGGGGTCAAAATTGCAGACGCAAAGCCACACAACTAAGCAAACTCAAACCTTGGTATTGGATCCAATGACTAATTTCTTTCTCCTGGCGCTTCTTTGTTTGTTCCTATTCAATCTGTCTCATACTTATTGTGCGGATTTCGAAATCGTGCTCGGTTCATATGATTGACTATATTGGTTCACTGAAAGGAGGGGCACATAAGAAGATGGAAAGGAAAAAGGAAAAGGGAAAGAAGCTTAACAGATATCAACTTTTTCGAGACTATGAATATAGTAGAGAGGATAAATGGTGTACTGTTGCATATACACATAGCTATGATATAGATGCTTCATCATCGTCTTCCTTGTGATATTTCCACACCGTGGCCATAAGCCCCTGAGAGGGAGAACAGGATTTCCCACTCCTTCTCCCCTGCTGCATTCATAGCAAGCATCTAACGTAAGTACATACCGGAAACTAACATTGGATCTCTATGAAGCTTGATCTGAGTGCCAGTGTACCTTCTTCCCTGGGGCGTTCTTTCCGGTCTTGACACTCCGTAAGCTTTCCGGCCGATTAAGAACGTAGTCCTTGAGTTGTTCATCGCTCATGGCTTCTATCATGGCAGTCTGGCATCACAAGCAAAGGCAAATCTAAGCATCAGCTTGTCGTAGCCAGAATCATATTTAACGAGAGACTGAGTCATGCGATGAATTGCTTGGAAAAAGAGGAACGTATATACCCATGCAATGAGCTCCTCTAGTTGTTTTCCGATGGCCATCTCCTCCATGTCTGCGAGGTCTTTCTTCTGCTTCCACGAAATGACTTCCGTGTCTGAGGCCTTCTTCCCTTTCGGTTCTCTCCGGGACATCTTGCCACAGAGAAAACGCCGACGCGACGGATTAGGAAGGAAGGCAAATATTGATATATAATGGGGAAGTCGAATGTAACGGTCGACATTATCACTTAGAAAGACAAAGTTAGGTAAGAAGGTTGGACTAGAAAGGCAGCTACTCATATAACGGTTTATCGACCGGAACATAACATGTGAGCCAGACGCCGACCATATAAAAGTTTGCTGCCGGCAATAATATATATATATATATATATATATATATATGATAAATTCTTGTAAAACGTTTTAATTTTTAAAAAAATTCAAAAGTATCTTTGATCCAATGAAAAGATAATTTTATCCCTACACTGTCACTCCTATGTCACTTTTGTCATTGGTCATTATTCTTGCGTCACATTCATCCCATCGGATCTGACTCTATTTACCTTGCTCTCGTACGACAAAAAAAAAAAAGAATGTGATAATAACAATCTTCATTACCCTCACGTGAGGAAGGATACAATCGATTGTAGACAAAGAAGGACATCACAAAGACTAAGATAACGATAGCTCTTTTCCTGACAAATGATAATTTGACCTGATAGAAAGGAGGGAAGACAAAGACAAGACTGATAAAAGGTCATGGGCAAAATAATCATTTGTGAAAATAAAAAGAATTTTTTATAATTGCAGCCCTCTGTAACAATTTCTGAAAGATTATACAAATTTCTGCACCTAATATTTCCTTTTCGCTTTAGCTAAGACAAAGGAATTGCTATAGCTAATGAATGTGATGTAAATCAAGAAAATATTTTGTTGTTTTAAAGTTTTATTGACGTAATGTATAACTATGCAATAAGAGGAGGCGATGGGTGTGTGACTCTGAGTAATTAAAGCTGGATGAAAGTAAATTTAAGCTCTGGCTATTGATATTGACAGCTAAATATTTGTTTCAATATGATTTTGATTTTGAAAGATTTTAAAGAATAATACTAATGGCATGGGATATAAAGAGAAATAAACTTTTGTATATGAACAAATACTAGCAGGCCATAATATACAACGGAATTAAATGGAACTACAATCAAATAGAACACCAAAATATATGTAGAAAACCCCTTGAATGTGAAGGGTAAAAATCATGGGTAAACTAGAGATAATCCACTATAAAAATAATAAATATATAAATTTTAATCTATTACCCAAAACCCTAGCAACAATCATATGAGAATATCTGGGATACAAGAATCACAGTAAGAATCTATTATAGATCTGATCTAACTTGAGATGAAAACACTGTTAGATGATTGAGAATTGTGTCTCTGTATTATCCTTGTCTTCTTCCGTTTCTTTCTCTTTGAATTTCTATATTTTTCTCCTCCTTTTTGTTGTGCCAAGAACTGCATCTTTACTGCCTTTTTCTACCTCTTTTTATAGCCACCACACCCCCCAAAATATAAATTTGAGTTAGATTAAGAGGTGGTGAGCTATGGGCTGATAAAGCCCACCTTGGGCTAAATATGGGCTGTTAGCCCAACATGACATCCTTTGGAAGATAGATACTATGTTGATTATTATCAAGCATTGTTACGAGGGGGGCCCACGACCCCAGAGAGTTACATCTGGTGCCTGGGTGATGTCTTCGTCAACCGCCCGATCTCCCTCATCGCCTGGATCCTCCGACCGAATTCGCTCCATGATGGATGTCACCTCAACATCCCATCCTCCGTCGCTGAGCTTACAAACGAGCCTAATCTCCGATGATACCATCTCACCGCTCCGCTCCTCCATCTCCGTTCTCCTGAGTGCGGTACGGGGGAGACAAAGCTTTTATAAGAGGACGGTTGGATCAGACGGCGTCAACGTTCGGTTCCTGTTATCCATGTTGGGTGTCGGTTACCGCAACTAACAATCTTCGACTACTTCCTAGCCCTACGATGAGAATCCGACGGTGATGAGCTACTCCTGAATTAAATTTAATGAATCATTTCTCATTATATTTTTTGTTCTTTTATATTTAATTAGGGAAAGAAATATGTTGGCCCAATTCGAGAGCACCAGATTTATAATGAAAATTAATAAATACATATTTCATAATTAACATCTAACCGAATTTAAAGTGTGTTTGGTCGCACGTGCGTCTCGGGGAACTGAACCCATGCGTTCATCACACATCATTTAACCATGTGTTGGTGGACTGACATATTTGTGTTTCATCGTGAGCTTTCTAGACGTAATGTAAGAATATAGTTTTCTCTTTTTATTTATATATATATATATATTTTAATTTTTTATTTTATTTAATAATAATAATAATAACATTGGCCGATGTTTATTGGTGAACACTTCAGCCCTAAGATTGGGATCGAACGGTCAGAAGCAAAGATGCGACGGGGGCTGCATCCCGGCTAGTAATCCGTGTCTGGGAGGAGTAATCGATGATGATGATGATGATGATGATGATGCTGATAACCGTGAAGCAAAGTAAAGGAAGGATCTCAACGTCCGTTTCTATGCTTAACGGTCAAGCCAAGTATTGTTTTTTCTTTACATTGCAGCGACCACCATGTCATCCGTTTCTCCCGTTCCCGTTACTCAACGTTAGTACACCTCTCCATTCTTCGAATACTTCAAAGTCCGGTAGGGGATCTGATAAATCTCTGATTTCTTGTCTTATAATCGCGCTAATGTAGTCACACCAAATGCTATAATAGTGGAGGTAACTTTTTGAGTCTAAAAAACCGTGTAGCTTATAGTTTAATCGATTAGGAGCCTTCTTACATAGATAGAGATTTAAGGTCTGGTACAGTGCATTAGGCATCCGATGGTGACTTACAACTAGAACCAGGAAATATTAAATCCGACGGATTGGATCGGGTGGGCATCCTCTTTCGCTTGACTGGAGAGAACATCCAACTACCATAAATCCAAGCTGGATGTTACCCAAGTAGATATTGGTCGTCGATATCTAGTAGGAGGATCGATGGATTTGGAGTACCATTCGATTACTGCTCACCATCCTTGCTTCCACGGGAGCCAGACACGGATTACTAGCCGGGATGCAGCCCCCGTCGCATCTTTGCTTCTGACCGTTCGATCCCAATCTTAGGGCTGAAGTGTTCACCAATCGGCCAATGTTATTATTATTATTATTAAATAAAATAAAAAAAATAAAAAAATAAAAAAGAGAAAACTATATTCTTACATTACGTCTAGAATTGGGCCAACATATTTCTTTCCTTAATTAAATATAACGAGAACAAAAAAGTATAATGAGAAATGATTAATTAAATTTAATTCTGGAGTAGATCCATCACCGTCGGATTCTCATCGTAGGGATTGGAAGTGGCCGAAGATTGTTAGTAGCGGTAACCGACACCCTACATGGATAACGGGTAGTTAACGGAACGTCGGCGCCGTCTGATCCGACCGTTCTCATATAAAAGGCTCCTCTCCCCCCGTACCGCGCTTAGGAGAACAGAGACGGCGGAGCGGAGCGGAGCGGTGAGATGGCGTCATCGGAGATCGGGCTCGCATGCGCGCTGGGCGGCGGAGGATGGGATGCGGAGGTGACGTCCATCATGGAGCGGATTCGGTCGGCGGACGTGGGTAACAGGATCCAGGCGGCGAGGGAGATCCGGCGGCTGACGAAGACATCGCCCAGGCACCGGAGGCAGCTCTCTGGGGCCGTGGGCCCCCTCGTATCGATGCTTCAGTCGGACAGCCTTGAGTCCGGGGACGCCGCTATCCTCGCTCTCCTGAATCTTGCCGTCAGGGACGAAAGGTGCGACCTTTAATTCTTTGACATCAGACCTCCGCTTCTCTCGATGCAATTTCCAGCTCAACCTATGTCCTAATCAACAGTAGGAACAGCTTTATCCTTATCTCTTTTACTTCTTCTTCTTCTTCTTCTTCTTCCTCCGTGTATAAATTTTGTACAGCAATCACGTCTTCTCTGTTCCTTTATGATGGGATGACGGTAGAATCTTATGTCCACCTTTGTGCATTCGGTTGATGCCCAAGTTCTTGAATGACCGCTTTTCTTATGTACATTACTCTTCTTGAATGACTGCCGAATCTTATGTCGACTTCAGTAACACTTCATTCTTAAGCACATTGCTCTTATTATCCCAAATGCGTTGGTTTTCTCACATTTTAGATCTGTGTTTGCAGCAATAAAATCAAGATAGTGGAAGCTGGTGCACTCGATCCCCTCATTCATTTCTTGCAATCGACAAATTCTAGCCTCCAAGAATATGCCACTGCAGCTCTCCTTACCCTCTCCGCTTCATCCATCAACAAGCCGACCATCAGTGCCTCTGATGCCATCCCCCTCCTCGTCAGAATCCTCAGAGATGGAAACCAACAAGCCAAGATCGACGCTGTCATGGCTCTTTGCAATCTTTCCACAATCCCAGAGAACCTTATTGTCATTCTGCCACTCCAACCCATTCCTTCTCTGATATGTTTGCTGAAGAGCTGCAAGAAGTCGTCCAGAACAGCCGAAAGGTGCAGCGCCCTCTTGGAATCACTGGCGAGCTTCGACGAAGGACGGACTGCTTTGACAGCTGCAGAGGGCGGAGTGCTGACAGTGGTGCAGGTACTCGAAGAAGGGTCGCTCCGCAGTAGAGAGCATGCCGTGGGAACCCTGCTGACGATGTGCGAGAGTGATCACTGTAGATACAGAGAACTCATTCTCAAAGAAGGTGCCATTCCCGGTCTGCTCGAGCTCACCGTTCAGGGGACTCCAAAGTCTCAGGTGAAAGCTCGGTCGCTGCTTCAGCTGCTGAGAAGCTCTCGCCACGAGAGGGCCGAGTTACATGCAGACGCTCTTGACAGCATCGTTTGTAACATCGTCTCCAATATTGACGGTGATGATCAGGCAGGGAAGGCAAAGAAGATGTTGGCCGAGATGGTTCAGAACAGCATGGAGCAGAGCTTGAGGCATTTACAGCAGAGGGCTTTTGTTGTGCGCTCCGAATGAACCCCCACTCCTCGGTGACTGCCCTGCAGACTCTTCCAGATGACCGTCTTCTTCGTTCTAATT